GGAGGCACTGACCGCTAAATCCATCTAGACCCGAAAACAGTCGATTTTAGAGGTCATTAACCCTTGAGCACCAAAATCCGATTCGGTAGATAAAGTGTTAAATTAGAGAAAGAAGAAATCGAAAGAATCATCTCACATTCAACGCCTCTTTCCATTCAAGATTGAAGAGTTTCACGAGTCCAAGGACATTTCTCCTAATCAAACTCTGCAGCGTGGTTCTCGTGAGGACGTAAGGCGCCTCTGTGGTTCTCATAGGCGACGTCGTTGTCGTTTCCGTCGCGTTCACTGTGGTCATATTCGTTCCAGAACTCGTCGAGTCTATCGACGTCAAAGCTCCGCTCGTCATCGTGCTCTGAGTCGCCGAATCTGGAGCAATACTATTGTTAATGATGGTACTGATCTGTTTTATCGCTGACCTCGTGTCGTTGATCGTCTAGAATAAACAGAAAATGAGTTGCGGCGATTTCAGGTATCCGTGGAACCTGGTGAACGACGTGTGCCTTACTTCGAACGTGATTCTGGCCAGAGTCCAGAAGAATCCTGGCTTCTGCTTCCTAACTTGCCTGGCTACCCTCCTCGACTCCTCGGGAATGATCTTATCTTCTATTCCATTCGTATCGAGGTAATCTTTCCGATTCGAGTCCTCCGATAAAACGTTGTCGAGGATCCTCATCTTCTTCGTAATTTCTTCTTCGTTCAAATTGTCCCCGATGGTTATTCTGTCTTTCTTCGACGCTTCGGCGTAATCACGCGGCACCAAATCGTGGTACCTGCGATAATTCGTCGAGGGTGTTCTTACGGGATAGCTCAAGGAACTCGAAGAAGCTTGAAAATGATTCGGTGCGTGGATTATTTGAGGTTTCTCTTCGATTTGTGTTTCATGCGGAGGTAGACTTCTCAGGTTTGAAGAGTACTGTTCGGAGAATATTTCGACTGGTTCTAACGGAAGCGATCGATGATCTATGGGATTGTACGGGTCGTAATTGGTCCAGTAGGTTTGTTGAGGGTCGCTTCGAAGAGGATCGACGAGGCACAGTAGGTACAAACCCATCGTCAGTAGATTTATCGACGCCTGCATCTGTAATCAAACGCTGATAATCTGTTGTGAAGTTGCACTTGGTGCGCTTAAACTACGCTTGCAGGAGAGAGTTCTTGTGGTTCGTTCGTGAAGGGTCTTTCGGTGCTCCAGGGAGTCGATAGGATCGGGCTTCGCGAGACATTTATGAAGACAGAAGTCGGGAAGAGCGAGGAAGCCGTAGGTGCCTGATCTAGGGTACAAATACACTCCATACGCATAGAACAGTCTTCTAATGTAGAGCAAACTTGTATTCTGTTGACGAAGTGTCTTTCAGTGCACAAGAGGAATCTGTAAAAATAGGCTTCGTGAGATATTCTTGAAGAAAGAAGTTGGGAAAAGTGAGGAATCCACGAGTACCTGATTTATTGTACAATTACACTGTTAGAACAAATTTCTTTTATTCTTTTCAGGAAGAATCCAACCAGTATACACGAGACGTTCGTAAAGAAAGAAATTGGGAAAAAGTGAGGAATCAACGAGTACCTAATTTATCGTGCAATTACACTCGGCATGCTTAAAATACACTCGTAGAACAGACTTCTGATGTCGAACAATCTTCTTGTATACTTTTTACAAAAAGTCATTCACGAAGAAAGAAGTTGAGAAAAACAAGGAATCCACGAGTACCTAATTTGTCGTACAATCATCTACACTCGACACTCTTAAAATACACTCATAGAACAGACTTCTAATGTCGAAGAAACATCTCGTATTCTTTTCACGAGAAATCATTCACAACGAAAGAAGTTGGGAAAATGAAGGAATCCACGAGTACCTAATCTATCATCTAACAACACTCAACACGCTAAAAATACACTCATGGAACAGATTTTTAATCTCGAGAAAACATCTTGTATTCTTTCCCCGAACAATCCAGCCAGCATTCACGAGACATTCGCAAAGAAACAAATGGTGAAAAGCGAGGAATCCATGAATACCTAATCTATCCTACAATTACACTCGACACGCTTAAAATACACTCGTACAACAGACTTCCAATCTCGAACAAACTTCTCGTATTCTCTTCACGATGTTCTTCCTCCGATGCACGAGGGGAATTACTCGAACCAGCCTTCGCGAGGCATTCGCGAGGAAAGAAATTGTGAAAAGCTTCGAAGCGTGAGAGTGCCAAAAGTGGTTGGCAATTTGCTCGAAGTCGCTAAACGTCCAGAACCCCCGGATTTCGCGCCATTCTTATCACGTAACCGCGTAGCGCGAACGTCCGCCAGGAAAATGGGGAAAAATCCTGGCTAACGAGGCGATTCGTATTCGTCACACGCGGCAAGATTCGATTTAAAAGGTACCCTATTGATTAGCCAACGCGAATTTACGTCTAAGGGAACGCGGAACGTCCTACGCGACGCGCTTACACGATCGTACACCGTGGAATCAGGCGTGCAACGTGTTGCAGTCACGCGAGTAAAGTTATATACCAAGTAGGCACACGATTCTGCGGCCTCTAACTGACCAGCAGACAATTTCCGAAACGCCGATTCTTCGTGCACACTCGCCGCGCTTTCACTTTCTTGCACTTTCCACCACACTCGAAGATGTTAATTGAAACGGATTCGATAATTGCTCGGGTATCGTCGGGCCATCGTTTACTCGGTTAACCCTTTCGTTACTCTTCGCGCTTATAGACATTTTGGAAATTTCGTTGCACGACGCTTTTGGAAACTTTCGATACACTTCCACCTTAATTTGAGAATTAATTTTATCCTTCGACACTTTAGTTACTGTTGGCCTTTTATATAAGCGTTTTGAAAATTTCTTCGCACTGTACTATTCGAGACTTTCGATACACTTCCACCTTAATTTGAGAATTAATTTTATCCTTCAACCCTTTCGTTACTATTTACCTTTTATATACTTAGACGTTTTGAAAATTTCCTCGCACTACAATTTTAGAGCCTTTGATACACTTCCACCTTAATGTAATATTTAACTTTATCCTTCACTCCTTTCCTTACTATTAGCCTTTTATGTACCTAGACGTTTTGAAAATTTCCTCGCACTACACTTTTAGAGCCTTTTGATACACTTCCACCTTAATTTAATACCTAATTTCATCCTTCAACCCTTCCATTCTTAATGGCATTTTGAAAATTTCCTCGCACTATACTTTTGGAAACTTTCGATACACTTCCACCTTAATATGAGAATTAATTTTATCCTTCAACACTTTAGTTACTGTTGGCCTTTTATATAAGCGTTTTGAAAATTCCTTCGCACTGTACTATTCGAGACTTTCGATACACTTCCACCTTAATTTGAGAATTAATTTTATCCTCCAACCCTTTCGTTACTATTTGCCTTTTATATATAATACTTAGACGTTTTGAAAACTTCCTCGCACTACACTTTTAGAGCCTTTTGATACACTTCCACCTTAATTTAATGTTTAACTTTATCCTTCAATCCTTTCCTTACTATTGGCCTTTTGTATACCTAGACGTTTTGAAAATTTCCTCGCACTACACTTTTAGAGCCTTCTGATACACTTCCACCTTAATTTAATACCTAATTTCATCCTTCAACCCTTTCATTCTTAATGGCATTTTGAAAATTTCCCCGCACTATACTTTTAGAAACTTTCGATACACTTCCACCTTAATTTAATACCTAATTTCATCCTTCAACTTACTATTGGCCTTTCATATAGACGTTTTGAAAATTTCCTCGCACTATACTCTTGGAGACATTCGATACACTTCCACCTTGATTTAATACTTAATTTTATCCCTCACACACTTCCAGATTAATTTAACACTAGGTTCACAGGTCGCGCCATTTTGACGTATTTCGAATTTCACAGGGAAAATTACAGAAACCGTTTACATTTCCTTCCTACCACTTACGCTTATTATAAATTTTATATAAATATATAATATCTCATAGTTTCATTTATAAGTTAACAGCGTATAATATGTTGTTTTCAAATAAAATAAGTTATTGTTTAAAGAAAATGTGACGCTTGTCCGTAGAGATAGGTACATAAGAAATGTCCGTAAACCTAAATAACTAAATAAATAAGCAACCAGTTGCATAAGTCTCTGTATCTAGTATTGACACGGTCGACGTGTGAAAAACTTAAGGTCGAGATACGGTGGCGGTCTGCAAGGGGTTAATCCACAAGTCCATCGTAAAAAGGAGAAACAAGGAGAGAGAGTATTTAGTATATATAGTAAGTCTCGTGCAGAAACCCGACGTTTCTTAGGTCGCCGTTCGAGTCACGCGTGCTTTTGCTATCGTGACCCATCTAAATAATCGACGAGATACACGCTCTCTGCGGGTTATACGGCCATCGCTGTCTCCAGCGGCCTGTGGAGGTCAGTTACGCTAACTAGACGTACATAATAGCGTGATCGCATGAGAAATTAAAAAATTTTATTGTAATAATTCAAAATTTACCATAAGTCACCCATCGAAATCTGCCGCAGCGAAGGGGTTAAACTTCTTGGAAAGAGTTGCAACCTTCGAGTCAGATGAGCCGTGACTGTCCAGCAACTCGCTTGAAATTCGTGTTTCGGAGTGTCTCCCTGTTCATACACTTCCCCTCGTGCTCCATTTTCACGGGTACGCGACCTCGAAGAAGTTGCGTGCAGGGAATTCACTAGCAGCGATATTTCGCCGGTTTCGAAATCGTCGATCGAGCTACGAATTTCGGTTGTGTCGAAACCGACACCTTGTCACGTCGTTTAACGATTCTTCACCGTTAACCACAGCTTCGAATGTTTCTCTTTTCACCACTCCACAACCGTTCCACCGTAGAAGCTGTCGTACATCGACAGGTGAACGTTGCGTTTTGTTAAAATCAAACTCGAGGTCGTCCAGTTTTTCAACGTTCCTCGACAATCTTTTACTCCTTCGTCTACTCATTTTTGTCACAATTCTCCTCCGATGTGCGATCTGTCGCAATATATTTTACAAACCGATCGACATCGTCTAAAATTGGTTATGTAACCCAGGGTCATCATGTAACACACGGCTGAGCAAAGTGAAATCAGAGCTACACGCTCACGAACCGAACCAAAGAATTAATACTGCCCGCTGTAACGGCTGCAGATAGTTATGGTCCCGCCATAACGCTTATGAAACGAACTATCCTCCGTAGAATTGTGCAGCTTTACTCGACGATGCTTAGGTTACGCTTATATGCGGAGAAATTGACAATTCCCCTTTCGCGTGAATTACGAGGTGAGGGAAATATTCGCGCTGGTAAATGACAGCGAGGACGTGGATAACGCCGCATAATAGGATCGTTCGTAAGAGTTTCCGTGTATCTCTGCAGGTTGTTAAACAATTTTCCTTCGTTCTATATTTAGCGTAACCGCGATCAAACCGGTAAGTCATACAGGGCGAGACTTTCTACGGAAGTTGGGGATTTCTGTCGATTACGCGATCGTGTGAAAGGATTTGAAACGATAGAAATTCCGAGAAATTGTCGATGACACTTGAACGTCTCACCGAAGTGATTTAGTTTGCTCATTCTCGAGGAATTATTCTAATTATTTCGCGCGATTTAAATTATGTCACACACTGTGCACGCGGTTTGAGGTGTTTGAGTTGAAGTTTGGTCAATGACACTCGATGTCACTTGGATTTCACACGAAGAATTGTGAGTGATAATTCGAGCAGGATTACGAAACTTCTTTCACCGGGCGTTTTACGATCGAGGAGCTGGATCGCGAGTGTACTGCACACGGATCGACGAAGGCGATACTTAGCCATGCGCGAGGTAAAACCACGTGGATTGACGCGCGGCCATCTTTCACTTTCACTGGCGGTTGTCGCGCGACCACGTGTTCCCCTGAACGTAAATCGACGGTAAATGGCTCACTCGATGCGTTACTTCATTTCGATTACGCTCCCCTGGTTTTATCGCGTCGAGGTCTGCCGGTGGAATTAACGCGGACGCCATTTTGTATTAATGTACTTTCTCATTCGATGTTTCCGCGTTTTTCTTACTTCTGTTATGTTTGAGAAATTTTGAATTGTGG